TTTGGGGTCTGGGGTCTCTATTTTGGGGTCTGGGGTCCCTATTTTGGGTCTGGTGTCCCTATTTTGGGGTCTGGGGTCCCTATTTGGGGTCTGGGGTCCCTATTTTGGGTCTGGGGTCCCTATTTTGGGGTCTGGGGTCCCTATTTGGGGTCTGGGGTCCCTATTTTGGGTCTGGGGTCCCTATTTTGGGTCTGGGGTCCCTATTTGGGTCTGGGGTCTCACCCTGGATTTCGGGGTGCCTCATGAGGAAGGCGATCCCGAACCTCAGGGTCGAGCTGACGGTCCCTATTTTGGGGTCTGGGGTCCCTATTTGGGGTCTGGGGTCCCCATTTGGGGTCTGGGGTCTCTATTTGGGTCTGGGGTCTCACCCTCGACGTGGGGGTGCCTCATGAGGAAGGTGATCCCGAACCTCAGGGTCGAGCTCACGGTCCCTATTTTGGGTCTGGGGTCCCTATTTGGGGTCTGGGGTCCCAATTTTGGGGTCTGGGGTCCCTATTTGGGGTCTGGGGTCCCTATTTGGGGTCTGGGGTCCCTATTTGGGGTCTGGGGTCCCCATTTGGGTCTGGGGTCTCACCCTCGATGTGGGGGTGCCTCATGAGGAAGGCGATCCCGAAGCGCAGGGTCGAGCTCACGGTCCCTATTTGAGGTCTGGGGTCCCTATTTGAGGTCTGGGGTCCCTATTTGGGGTCTGGGGTCCCTATTTGGGTCTGGGGTCCCTATTTGGGGTCTGGGGTCCCTATTTGGGGTCTGGGGTCCCTATTTTGGGGTCTGGGGTCCCTATTTTGGGTCTGGGGTCCCTATTTGGGGTCTGGGGTCCCCATTTGGGTCTGGGGTCTCCCCCTCGATGTGGGGGTATCTCATGAGGAAGGCGAACCCGAACCTCAGGGTCGAGCTCACGGTCCCTATTTTGGGGTCTGGGGTCCCTATTTTGGGGTCTGGGGTCCCTATTTGGGTCTGGGGTCCCTATTTCGGGGTCTGGGGTCTCTATTTTGGGTCTGGGGTCCCTATTTTGGGGTCTCACCCTGGATGTGGGGGTGCCTCATGAGGAAGGCGATCCCGAACCTCAGGGTCGAGCTGACGGTTTCGGTGCCGGCGAAGAAGAGGTTGAGGGTCGTCAGCTCCAGGTTCTCCTGCGAGAACTCCGAGTGGGGATTGGACTTTTCCTGGGAAAAGGGGGGAAACTGGGAATGGGGGAGTCACCGGGAACACCCCCGGGAATGGGGGAAACACCGGGAACACCCCCGGGAATGGGGGATCCATCGGGAATGGGGGAGTCACCGGGAACACCCCCGGGAATGGGGGATCCATCGGGAATGGGGGAAACACCGGGAACACCCCTGGGATCCGAGTGGGGGTTGGCCTTTTCCTGGGAAAAGGGGGGAAACTGGGAATGGGGGAAACACCGGGAACACCCCCGGGAATGGGGGATCCATCGGGAATGGGGGAAACACCGGGAACACCCCCGGGAATGGGGGATCCATCGGGAATGGGGGAAACACCGGGAACACCCCCGGGAATGGGGGCTCCATCGGGAATGGGGGAAACACCGGGAATGGGGGAGTCACCGG